GTGACAATGCTAATGCTTTGACCGCACTGGGCTTTAATTGCAATCCTCGCCCTGAAGGTCGGTCAGGTTGTGTTAATACTAGGCTCACTTGAAAGTGAGCCGCTAGTATGGCTTCTAGTGCCGTAGCTGCAAAAGATGGGGTACCCGCAAAAGCCACGTTTAAACCCGATAAACTCATAAATATGCCTTTTTCCAATTTTTATTAGGATGTGCGTGCGAAATAACCCCCAAAACATGATCATGGCAAGGGTAGGTGGGGGGACAAAGTGCCCATTCTATTGAGAATGGCTAGTGGTTGGCAAGCCACACTAAAGGAACATATGCCCACACTTCATTGATCCATAAAAACCCATATGGTCTCTCATGCTCTGTAAGATTATTCATTATCAAGCGATTGTGTTAAAGAAGTTTTAATTGCAATATGTGCTGGAAATAGACTCGCCACCCAGCCTGCCATTAAAACGATGGGAAGCAAAATCAAAGCCATTTTCCAAGGATAAATATATTCGTAACCAATTCCCGTTGTCCCTACAGAGGACACCACCAAAACGTATCGCAAAATTGGAAAAGCAAAAATTAGCCCAATTACCCAGCCCGTCAGGCTAATCGCAAAGGCTTCTAACGTAATCGCTCTTTTGATCACACGATAGGTTGCTCCCATGGTTTGAATAATGGCAAACTGACGACGACGCTCAGTAATGGACACAAACAAAGTATTCGCAATGCCTAGGACGGCAATCACGACGGCTAAAAAAACTTGCACATAGGTCAAGCTAAACCATTGATCAGAAACACTTAAAGCATACTCCCTAAAATCATGCATATTCATGATAAACATCGTGTACTGGTCTCCGTAACGACGTTGAATATCCTGTTGTACTTTGTCGACATTGGCCCTTCGCTTATCTTTGAGATAAATTCGAAAAAAATTAAAGTCATCGAGTTTCCAATATTGCTTAAAATACGATCGATCTATTGTTATCGATCCTTGCTGACTGGTTAAATCACTCACAATGGCCACAACGGGCAACGTTAAAATGCCATTGGGAGAGGGTATTTGGAGTATGTCCCCCATTTTAAAGTGACTTAAATTCGCAAAATTTTCTGAAATCACCGCGCCCTTGCCTTGTTTCATTTCCTCGACATTGCCTTGGATAATCGGTTGCCCTGAAAACGAATAAAACGTTTTAAAATCAACAGCTATTAATGTCGGCCTTGTCCCTGCCATATTTAAACGCACCAAATTAAACCCAAAAGCAGACTTCACACCCGAAATCGCTTGTAACTTCGCTTCTAAAGCATGAGGATATTTGTAATTATAGTTTTGAATATTTTCATTAGGTGCGACCAATAAATCGGGATTTAAAATGGTAAAAACCCATGTCCGAATCACCTTATCATTGGACAACGTTACTCCCGCAAGACTCAGTACCATAATTACTGACAAAGCTAATGTCGTGACGGTCACCAATGTCCGTTTAGGAGCTTGTTGTAAACCCGCCATAGCAAAACGACCTTCTACGGGCCACCCCCTTTCAAAAGGTTTTTGTAACCATTGGAGGATCTTTGGCAACAAAGTGGGTGTAATCAAGGTCACAGCAAGCCCGTTTAAAAGCATCCCAATGAGCAAAACTACTAATTCATACTGAGTATAGGGTGTTATTTTGGGGAGCAAAAACCCCACGACCACCATCACAATACCCACTACTAGCTGCCCGCGTTTTGCACGATCAGACTGTTGATGGACATCACCTCGTTTTAGCGCTTGTACTGGATCAATATTCGATGCTTCTTTGGCAGGAATATAGGCTGCAATCACACTGGTTAAAACACCAATCCCATATGCCATCAACAAAACCATCGGATTAATCATCATTTGTTCCGTGGCATTTGCCGATCCATAAACCACTTGTAACACGATCCCGACATAGTACAAAGCAAATTTCGCAAATAAAAGTCCCAAACCCACACCCAGTGCCGATGCAATCACTCCGGCGATGAAACTTTCCAAAAGAAAAACGTTGCGCACTTGGTTAGGGCTCGCCCCTAATGCTTTTAAAATACCAATTTCTGCACGTCTTTGTGCCACCGCCACACTAAAAGAATTGAAAATAATAAATAAACCGATCACCAAGGCAAACATACTCAGGATATTCATCATGGAGGTATAGGCGGTCAAAGAGCTATTAAACTGATCTGCACGCGCTTTAGGAGGGGCCACTTGAAAACCTGAACCCAATTGTTGGCTTAATGCCTTAGCAACCTGATCCGCATCGGCGCCTTCGTTTAAGGCGATATCCAAGCGATCAATATAGGTTTGTCGACCAAACATTTCCTGAGCCGCATACACATCCATCACAGCCATATTGCCACCAAAGGCTTTGGCAGCGCCTTCAGGTTTAATAAGTGCAGTAATCATAAAGGGCTTTTTGCCGTTGATCGTCGGCAATATAATCTCATCTCCCACCTGAAGATGGTGTTCTTGTGCAAAACTTTCTGCTAACATCAAAGCATTGGGTTGCACCAGTAACGTCGCCAAATTAACCGATGCCCCATTGTGCTCGTCAACCCTCACATCATAGGTTCGCAGCATCGAATCAGATAACAGATCAACACCTAGAACCAATAGGTTAGAACTGCCAACCAAGTCTGGTTTGACTGTTTGTTGAATGACAGGAACCGCGACTTTGATATCGGGGTGTGCTTGAACCAAGTCTAATTGTGCAATATCAAAACCTAAATCACTCCCTGTTACTTCCAACTGCGCTTGACCTGCTATCTGTTCAACCGTGCGACCAAAAGAATTGACAACCGTTTGATTAATGGCGGTAATGGATACCAAGACCATCACTCCCAATGCCACCCCTAACAGCGTCAGCAACCAACGCAACCAATGTTTTTTAATGTATGGCCAACTAATTAAGCGTATTAAGTTCATAAATGGGGTCAAATGCTATTAAATACATAGGGATGAGGTATGCAAACAATATCATCATACTCCTTGTGTTTGCTCTCAGTCTTACCTTCAGTCTATTCTTCAGTCGTTCCCCCTTCTAAGGTCGCATCAACAAATCCTTTTAAAATCTGCTACTGTTTTCAGCTGCCTTCACAGTTAACCACGCATCACGCTTAAGGTTGAAGCATTCAGCTGCTTTAAAGACATGTTTAAACCCCTGTCTTTGAAGACCTCAGGCATGAAGGGGAAGTCTTCTAGTTGTTTAAGCCAACATATCCATTGATTTAGCCTGCTTTTTATAATTTGGTAATGCTATGTAAATTATGGTGCGTTTATCAAAAAACACCCGATTGTGTTGATTTTTGAGTTTGAAGGAGTCCAACACATCGTCTTCGGGTTTGTCTTGAGCATTGTCATCAAGGTTACGAGTTTCGTTAGGGCTCGTGGAAATTTTTTGAGTTTTATTAGTTAAATCAGATGGTTGTCTGGTTTGCCGGTGCAAGCCGCTCAAAAAATCTTTTAACAAATTTTTATTGAACGCTTGTCCGAAAAGGCACTTAAAACCGTAATCAGTTAAGGGTTTGATGTATATAGATTTCATGACAGACTTGTTTGACGATGGATTGTACTACATTATACTTCGGTTGAAAATTAAAAACTAGGGATTATATTTGAGAGAAAAATCATAAATAAATGTGGGGGTGCGCTTATTTAAGCCAGATTTTCCATTAGACACCTAAAGCCAAATAAAATCAATCGGTTTTTCTAATGACTTTCATTAGAAATTTTCTTTGCTAATCAATGAACTTTGCTTCTAATGGAAAATCAGGGTTTAAGCTCAAGTTACGATAAATTAGTAACAAATAATTTATGCTCTGCACTACATTAGACCGATACTAATCCTCCCACAACGTGCCGCTTCGACCATAGGATAGGTATTGCTTAAATTTTGTCGTAATTTCATGCTATTGCAAAAAATGTCTGAAATTTTTCAAGGTCGTCACATCTGGAGCCGTTCCCGTGCGAGATCAATGTCGCAAAACTGCCGAATGGCTTGACTGTCGTAAATCGTATCCTCACCCCCTTCGTCTGAGAGGGTGTACCATGAAGCGACAAAATACATTCTCATACCCATTCTCCATCAAGGCGCTACTTTGTCATGGCTCCTAGCCTTACTACAGTCATGTCTTCGTCGCCATTTCGCGGTGCACTTTGATGGAGAATGGGTATCAGTATTTTATGGAGTTCAATCGGCTGACGGCCCACTTTACCCCTCTTGTGATCTTTGATAGCCTTGATTTCATCTTTAATCCCGGATTTTCCATTAGAAGCAAAGTTCATTGATTGGCAAAGAAAATGTCTAATGGAAGCTATTAGAACAACCAATTGATTTTGCTTGCTTTTAGGTGTCTAACGGAAAATCTGGGTTAATCGTGGAAAATCTGAATTAATCCGCGTTTCCTATTTAAATTAGGACTAGACCTTACAGCGGTGTCAGGCGGGGAGCCAAGACCAAGTGGCTAAAAAGAAGGGTTACAAGAGCATGAGTACCGCTTGAACACCGGCAATTAAGCATGATCATCCAAACCCACCATCGCACGACCATAACTCAGGGCATCAAATGGCATCAGATCTTCAACTTTTTCACCGACGCCGATAAAATAAATGGGTACAGGACATTTGCTGGCAATAGCGAGCACAATGCCTCCTTTTGCCGTACCATCAAGTTTGGTCACAATTAACCCCGTTAATCCGACCGCCTCATGAAACGCAACCACCTGATTTAAAGCATTTTGCCCATTGTTGGCGTCAATGACCAGTAAAACCTCATGAGGGGCACTGCTATCTGCTTTTGTGATCACCCGTTTAATCTTTTTGAGTTCTTCCATTAAGTGCGCCTGGGTCGGTAGGCGACCAGCCGTATCGGCCATAACCACATCAATTTGTTTGGCTTTTGCCGACTGAACGGCATCAAAAATAACTGCCGCAGGGTCTGCACCCTCTTGAGAAATCACCGTAATTTGGTTGCGGTCACCCCAAGCCGTTAGTTGTTCGCGTGCCGCCGCTCGAAAGGTGTCACCGGCTGCTAACAAAACCGAATAATCCGCACTTAACAGATGTTTGGCAAGTTTACCAATGGTGGTGGTTTTACCCACGCCATTAACGCCAACCATCATCATGACATTGGGCTTAAACTGTTCAATATCTATAGTTTTTTCAAGTGGACGTAGCTCATCAGCGATACATTGGGCAAGTAATTCTCGGATTTGTTCGACCGTATCGGGCTTGGCTTTTTTAATTTTCTGACGTAAATTTTCGACAACGATACAGGCAGCTTCTATGCCACTGTCACTCATGATTAAGGACTCTTCAAGCTCATCCATCAATGTTTCATCAATGGTAACGCGCTTAAAAGCAAATGAAAGGCCACTGCCTGTTTTATTCAGGCCCTTTTTTAAACTGCTAAACCAAGTTTTTTTTGCTTTTTTTTCCTGTTCCGCATCGCTTAGGAGCATTGAATCATTGACATCCGAGCCCGACGGTGTCATGTCGGGTTCTTGATGCGCTGGTATGGCTTGCTCGATTAAATCCTCTTCGGACAAGTCATCTAAAGCCGGATCCTCTATGAGGATCGGCTCATTGATTTCATTGATATCCAAATCCAAGGGGGAGTCTTGATGGCGTTGATCGGTTTCTGGTTGATCGGCTACAGGAGCTTGGTTTTTGCCAAACAAGTTCCCTAACCGGGATTTTTTTTGTTTTTCAGTGGGTTGGGGTGGCTCGAAGTCAGATTGAGCATTTTCCACTGTGGTTGGGGGTTCGGGAATAGCCTCTATCGTGATAGCCTTTGTCACAGGAACCTTGATGTCATCACGAGCGGATACATCAGCTATGAATTCAGGCACTTCAGCATCCTCCACCAGATCAGGTGCATCAGTGGCGTGCGTGGCATCCGTTGTTTCATCAACTTTTTTTTTGCGTTTAAAAAAACTAAACATAATATGGTTAATCAGGTAAGGCGTAGAAATAAGCACACAAAAACACGAAAAAATCTCAAAGTGCCTATCAGAATAAGAATAGGAGGGACGGTACAATTTTAATTAAAACATGGTGTTATCCACTTCAGATGGCTTGGTATCCGCGCGACAACGGCTTTACTGTTATGCTTTAGTTTATTTTGATGGGTAAATAGTATCACAAGGCGAGAAGGCGTGTGAATGCTCAAGGCACTTAACATTGCTATAATTGGCTCAATATTACACGAATACAAGGCTATTTTCTATGAAAATGAGTAAAAAATTAGATTCATTCCCATTTTTTACGCAAGTCTATGGTGCATTTTATCCGCTCTGGATGGCGATGGTGATGGGGGGGCTGACGATCATGCCCGTACCGAGTCAAGCGCAACCCGTCATGGATACAGATCAGCAAGTATTGGATAAAAAAGACCATGCGATAGCGATTGAAAAAATTAATGAAACCACATCGCGTTTTAAACTTCAAAATGGTTTGCAAGTGATTATTAAAGAAGATCACCGCTCACCAACCATGAGTTACTATACTTTTTATAAAGCAGGCTCGATCGATGAGGTGAACGGTAAAACGGGTTTAGCTCATGTTTTAGAGCACATGATGTTTAAGCGTACCAAAACGCTTAATGTGGGGGATTTTGACAAGGCAATCAAAGCAATGGGAGGGGCGACAAACGCCTATACGACCCAAGATGTGACGGGATATTATATTCAGGCAGAAAAGTCAAACTTACGCAAAATCATGTTGTTAGAATCGGAACGTATGGCCAATGTTCAGAACCATGCTGAAGATTTTGTTAAAGAGATAGAGGTAATCAAAGAAGAGCGTCGCATGCGTACCGATGACCGCCCAGCGGGCAAGCTCTACGAAAAGCTCATGAACACGATATACTCCACCCATCCATACAAAAACCCCGTGATTGGCTGGAGAGCAGATCTCGATCAGTTAACCTACAAAGATGCTCAAAATTGGTATGAAACGTGGTATGCGCCTAATAATGCAACGATCGTCATCGCTGGTGATGTGACGCCAGAAGAAGTGACGGGACTATTTAAGGAAATCTACGGTACGATTCCAGCTAAAAAAATTCAACGTGCCGCAGAGATCGTTGAACCCGCTCAAACGGCTAAACGGACAGTTGTCCATAAAGATTATGCCGAAAATGAGCAGGTTTACTTGTTTTACAAGGCCCCTAAATATACTACCCTAAATGATAGTGATGAGGCATATGCATTAACACTTTTAGATACCATTTTATCGGGCTACGAAGGTGCAAGACTTCCAAAAAGGCTGCGTGATGAACAGAAAATTGCTCAAGTGGTTTGGAGTGCATACGACCCTTTTAATCGTGGCCCGAGTTTATTTGGGTTAGGCGGAACACCTGCTCCCAATAAAAGTCATGCAGATTTGGAAAAAGCCCTTGCTGAGCAAATTGTCTTGATTGCCAAAGATGGTGTGACAGATACGGAACTGACACGGGCAAAATCACAATATTTGGCCAGTCGAATTTATGCCCGAGATAGCAAAAGTAGTATGGCTCAGGAGATTGGTCAGGCTGAAATGACGGGTTTGGGTGTTGAAAATATTGATAAAGTGTTTGATAGGCTCAAAGGGGTTAGCAAAGAGCAGGTGCAAGCGGTGGCTCAGAAATATTTAATGAATGATCAAACCCTGACCGTCGGGTACCTCGTTCCCGATAAGACTCTTAATAAGACGCCACAAGGAAATGCGGAGATGGTTAGTCCAACAAAATTTCGTTAATTTTCAATGTATTGATGCCAGTTCCATTTCAAAATCTTACGAAATAGCGATGAAGACACGACGGGTGTATGGCTAGGGGCCATGAAAAAGTTGCTTTTTGAAAAAGGGTTGGTATGAATTATATTATCCATTATTATTTGCTTATTATCTTATGAACCGCATTAAAAAATCATCGTTGAGTATCTTTCTGCTGTGTACGGTAGGGCTGGGTTTGTCACCAAAGGCAGTGAGTGCTATCCCAATCGAAAAGTTATCAACGCCCAATGGCACAACGGTATATTACGTCAATTCACCTTCCATTCCTATGGTGGACATAAACGTTATTTTCCCCAATGCAGGTTCAATTCAAAACTACTTGTACAAGAAGGGGGTAGCTGGCTTTACAGCGAATCTCATGAGCAGTGGGATTAAAACGCAGAATATCGAAAAAGATGAACATCAGATAGCTGACATCTGGGCTGATACAGGGGCACAATTTGGAGTGGGCGCGGAAGATGATTTTGCTAATTTAAGTTTACGCTCTTTAACTGCTGAGCCAAATCTACAAATAGCCTTAAATCAATCATTTGAAATTCTAAGCGCACCGAGCTTTCCCGAGAAAGTATTCGCGCGGGAAAAAGTGAATACCGTTGCAGCCATTAAGGAGCAAGAAACCAAACCGGGCGTGATTGCTGAGCAGGCATTTATCAAAAAACTTTATCCGAAACATCCTTATGGCTATATTTTGAAAGAAAAAGATGTCGCGCATTTAACACGTGAGGACATGGTTTTATTTCATGCTTGCCAATTTCAAGCCCCTATGGTAACAGTTGTCGGTGCAGTCAGTTCTGAAAAGGCCATTGATATTGCAAAACAATTTGAAAAGGCTTTGCCTGCAAGGCCAGCTAAATGCCCCCTTGGCACATTACCTGCCATTGATCCACCCAGCGCAAAAAGTCGCATCGTATTGCATCATCCAACTGCCACACAAGCTCAGATTATTATTGGGCAGTTGGGCGTCGCTCGTCAAGACCCTGATTTTTTTCCTCTGATGGTGGGCAATTATATTTTGGGGGGAAGTGGTTTTGGTTCTTTGCTCATGGAGGAACTCCGTGAGAAAAAGGGGCTGACTTATGGTGTTTACAGTAGTTTTAACTATGCTAAGTATTCGGGAACTTTTTCAATAGATAATCAAACCCGTAACGAAAAGGCACAGGATGCAGAACAATTGACGTATCAAGTACTTGAACAGTTTGTAAAAGAAGGACCGAGCGAAGAAAAACTAGAGCAAGCTAAAAATGCGTTGATAAAAAGTTTTCCACTTCGGATAGATAGCAATAATGCTTTGGCAAGACAAGTCAATAATATTGCCATAAACCAGTTGCCGCTAAATTACCTAGAGACTTGGACCGAGCAGATTGCCAAGGTGAGCCAAGCAGATGTCAAAGCAGCCATGGCTCGTAAAATTCATCCAGAGCGACTCATTACGGTGATTGTAACTGCGGCTAAACAAGGCAAGAAAAAGTCGCCTAAGTAGCGACTACGCCAGTTGTAATTTACACTTTTTGGGCAAGCGTATAATTTTCATTCATTTTATCAATCGTTGATAATCGTTTATACAAAACGACCTCAAGGACCTAATTCCATTTTCCGATCCACTTTGTAAGCGAAACGACGATGAAGACATGACCACGGTAAGGCTAGGAGGCGTGACAAATGACACGATTGATCGGGAATTGGAATAACTCATGCAAAACAGGGAGGCGTGAAAATATGCACGGTTGATATCCACCCAAAAATGAGGGCAACACGACCTCCTAGTTTAACCTTGAAAAGGTTTTCACCGCCATTTCGTGCGGTACTTGAAAAAATGGTGTTAAATCAAAAAAAGTCTTGGATTTTGCTTTAATGGCAATCAATCCTCAGTATCTTTCGCTAAAAATCCTAAAGTTCGCATTACCTCAAGACTCGATATGGCATGTCGCTTTGCTTCAGCGGATAAAACATCGATATCTCGTATCACTTGTCCATTTTTGTCTTGAAGGCGGATTTGCCCTTCTTTGGCCAACTCTACAATGCAATTTTCAATGTCTTGCAAAGTGTGCTGACCATCTAATAGGTCAAAAAACCCTTGCTGGACAATATTTATTGGCACACTTTCGTATAAGGCATTGATATATGAATATTCTTTGTACTGATCACCAAAAAATTGCCTTTGGATTTTCATCCATTCGGTCAGCTTGGGTTTCTTAGCAATTTTTGTTGCCACTTCTGAACCAGGGACCTCAGTATAGAGAATTAAGTCAGATTTCACTAAAGTCGTTAAGATTTCGATGATTAATTCACGGTGATTCGGTGCTTTCTTTTCGAGTTTTTGTTGTGACCTCTCAAGTAATTGCTTAAAATTCAACGAGTTAGGAAATGACTCGTGCAGCACTTCAAAAGCGGCTTTTTGAATGGGCACACGGGTTGTAAATGTTCGATTGCCGATACACGTGTACTTAACGGGCAAAGTATCAAATTCTGTTGTCGGCAATGTAGGTGAAAAAATACCCGAGTAGTGCTTAGTGATGATGGCGTCTTCTAAAACACTATACTGTGGCTTAGGTCTGGCCGCTTTATGAGTCAATATAGTTGCGCGAAATTGCCGATTAGATAAGAAATCTAAGTATTGTTCCGTTTTTACTTGGTCACCTTGACACTCATTTAACAAAACATTTTTAATTTCCATGCTATAAGCTTCGGGTATCATCATGCTAACCTGAAATTCAGCTAAATACTCCATCCCGCAGGTTCTGGCCGCACTCATAAAGTCGGTAAAATAAACGGGACGATTCACTGGCGACAAATATTCCATGGCCATGGACGGATGATCCAAATTACGCAAGGCCGGCAACTCCGCCTCAAGGTAGTTGCGCAACGTGCTGTTCTTAAATGACATTTCCGCCATAAAATTGATCATGCCACGCCCATGAGCCAGTTTGGCTTTCGGATCCGTTTGTGATTGTGAGCGAAATAGCATCGCATCTCGCATCACTTCTTTCATCTTCCAGCCGGGGTAGGTGTTGTATGACACCAATGCAATGCCCGTGGGTGACAAGACACTAGAAATTTTTTGTAATAGCTCATTTTGTTTGTTCTGAGGGATCATGCTATAAATCCCCGTCGCTAACACGTAATCAAACGTGCCTAAGTTTGCATCGATGGACAAGCTATCTATATTCTTGAATTCAATGTTACTGACTTGAGCTTTTGCAGCAAGTGTTTTAGCAAACTCGATTTTTTTGGCGTCAGGCTCAACGACAACATACTTTGTGTTTGGAAAATCATAGGCATAAGGTACCGATGTTGCTCCAAGACCACCATTTAACACCAAAACTTTACACTGTGTTGGGTTGGGTGCAGCATAACCAAACAGTGAGGCAATGGCCGACAAGCGGTTGGGGCTACATAGGGGGGTTGAGCGAAACTGTTCAAAATAACCTTGGTTGATGCTCGCTTGGTCAATTTTGGCAAATTCTTGGCTTAACTCGCCAAGACCAAATAAGTCTACATCTTGTTCGTTTTTCTGCTCTAAACCTTTGTCGGTTACAAATTCCATGGGCAACAACCTAATTTTCTTTATTAATCAATTTGAGTATGAATGAGCGACATTATACGAGATAATAGATGCCAATCGCCTATTTATAAAAATTTTGCACATTTTTTGTTGAGTTTTGTAACAAATGCGCACAGTCCAACGCAAAATATGTCAAAATCGCATCCGCTCCTGCCCGTT